GTGATGTATCTATGTACCTAATGACTTTAAATGATACGAATACACAGAGACGGTTCCACGCCCCTATGTATTCAGACTAATTTGTATCATATTAACACAATTCCCTAAATACTTTCTTTTTGACAGCGCAAGGCGCAGCTGACAAAGCACCGCAGGACTGATTTCCATTGCTGTCATCGGAGTTTTTAAAGTCATTTCGTATCATTTTGCGGTCAATGATGTTTTCGATGCTTTCATTGGATATTAATGGTGTTTATGAATAAGTTGACAACAGGAATCCCACTTGCAAAGACTGCGTGGCGTGAGAAGGGGACAGTTGAGGATTAGAGCTGCGCCGCAGGCAATGCAGGCAGTTGTACAGTGAATGGCAGACGCCAAGTCAGTATGATTAAGCTGAATTGCACTGCCTCTGTACAGCCTCTGTACAGAAACAGGTTGCCTCAGATTGCCTGAAAAATATCAGAGTGCAAACTGTAAGTCTTTAAAGCCGTTGCAGCAAGGCTTGTGAGAGCATTTCATGGGCGCGCATGGCACACTGCCTTTGATTCGTGGAGTGTGGATCTTCCAAAGTCCGTGCAATTTTGCAGAAGGCCGCGGGCCCTACTCTGGTGCACTTCGGGCGACCAACAGGCATGCTACCAGCCAGTCTCACAGGGACTTATGCAAGATGACTTGACGAAACGCGACTTGTACAATAGACTTGGACCGACAAAACCTCCGCTTTCAGACATGACTTAAGTTTAGACTTGATTGCGAACAGTTTCAAAGTTTCAATCCTGATGTCAGCCTGATGTCCTCATTCTCTTGGAACTAAGGTCGGTCCGGGCTCACCCGTGAAGGTGGAAGCACAGGCAACCAACTTTGAATTGGTGAAGGGTTGGGGCAATGTGAAGCGAATTGAAGCGACCTCAAGAGAGTTCACCACAGCAGTTGATACCTTTTGAATCCTCTTGAGAGCTCTTGCTTTGCCTTTTCTGCGGCTCTGATAATTGCACAGAAGTAGCCAAGCAAGCTGCGGCTCGACTCATTCACAGCACAACTGGAAGTGTGTCATGAACAAGTACTCACGCGGTATGCAGAATCGGCCAATGAGTGTCACCCAGTTGCAGATTTTCAGAGTGTTCACTGAAGTTCTCTGGGCAAATGGCTGCGCCTGCCTTTGTGCCGCTGCACCGGAGCACACCACTGATTCAGCGAAGCTGGAGGCAGCAATTATTTCTCTATTTTTCTTTCGTTCCTGAGATGCTTCATAGATCGACTTTCATAGAATTGGCAAAGAATCTGCTCGGAGTTGCACATCCGGGTGAACCGGTCTTGCCTGCACACTGCTTGCCAGGCCACCTGCGAGAAGTGATGCGCCCTTCGAAAGAGGCTGGAGCCACACAGCTGCCTCGCAGAACTTCTTGAAGCCTTCTGGGTGTATTTTTTACATGAAAGTTAGTATAGTTAGCATCTTGCAGAAGGGTCTACACAACTATTTGTGTATATATATATATATTATATACACATAATTATAAATTATATAATATGTATGTATATATATATAATTACAGTATCTATGTTTATATGTACGTACATATATATATATATATATATATGCAGCATATATTTTAATCCAGTGGCTCAGTGGCTCAGTGGCTAAAGCGAATAGTCAGTTTCAACAATCAGCCCGTCCAGCCAGACAATCAACTACTCATTAGCACCATTTAGCACCAAGATTATCGATTATTATTGCCTATGTCGATCGCTATTGGCTGTGGATGAGATGGATGATATGACATCGATGTATGATTCTTTGGAAGCTGCCTGGAAGCTGCCTAAAGCCTCATGAGGGCCATGAGGCCATGAGGCCAACGTCCACCTTGCTCACTTCTGTGGGCCCATGTTCAGTCTGTATTGGGACTTATGCTCGCTATGACAGTGTATGAAGCAGCCATAAAGTTACACTAATATATATATATATATACACATACAATATACACCCAGCTAAAGCTACTTTTTCTTACCTCCCAGCGTGATCAGATGTGACCAGGTCAATCCCATCCCTCGCCCTCCACAAGCTCTACATGGTGCGGATTGTCAGCGACTGAGTTCCGCTTCCCCTTTCTTTGCCCTTCTATGCCATCCTTTGCGTTTTGATGGTGAGTCCGTCTCTGAAGATGTGAAGCCCCGGCTATGTCTGTGTCCTTTGTCATTTGTCGCACTTTGCTCGGTTTGTGGCACTTTGTCGCACTTTGTCTCGGGCTAACTGGGGTACTCCTACGGGTGCTGTCCCAGAGATGCTCTCCCCAGACTTCGTCCAAAAGCCAGGTGTCTTGCTGGCGCCGCAAGCGCTGCAAGTGCCAGTGTCAGCCGGCGGCGACAAAGTGCTCCATCAATGGCTAGACGAGGACAAGCAGGTGGTAAGGAAGGCTGGGGACCAAGTGGATGAAGTCCTTAGCAGCGTTAGCCGGTAGCCAGATCGAAAATGAAGATTGAGCGCTTCACACGCTTCATAGTCAACAACAGTCAATTTGGTAACTATTCCAGCTGCTGTAGCTCCTGTGGCACCCTGTCTCCTAGAACGTTCACATGCGATCGATCACACCCCTATAAGTACGCAAATCCCCGGAACTGGTAAGCAACCCCCCAAGCAAATCGAGCCAACTTTTCCCGCTGTTTTATTCCTTTTGTCGGGTGATGATTTGTTTTGCGAGTTGCGAAAAAAATGTCATTTTGGTCTTGAATTTGCATTTTCACTGTGACATTTGGTTTGAACATGCTTCCCAAGCCCTGGCACAAATGGGGCAGTCCAGCATGCCAGCACCTTGATCAGAGAAGTTGTCCCCAAACGAGGTTCCACAGTTGTGGGGCACCTCCTAAAAATTCAAAGGAAAGTAGGTTTGAACTAGTTTGAACTTGAATTGAATTCCACTTGTATACTCAATATAACTCAATTCCAGTATCGGTAAAAATCCAGAGTACAAATTCAAATTCAACCAGTTTAGATTCTAGTTCAAAGCGAAGTTGGAAGATAATGTTCGCTCAGGCTTAAATTAGGTCTATACTCGATAATAAAGTCAAATCAAATTCAAATTCAAACTAGTCAGTTCCGATTCAAATTCAAATCATTCATTTCCAACAATGAAACCACCAGTCAGTTGAGAATCGATTTCCAGAGAGCTTTTCATAAACACATTTCACAATTTGCTTGAAACGTTTGACCTTACTTGTCGGTCTCGGGGGGCGCTAAATTTGGAGATGATGGATAGCGGATGATGGCGGATGATGGCGGATGATGGCGGATGATAGCGGATAACAATGGATAACATATGTTTGAGAGGGAGTGCTTTCTCGTGTCTACTCAAACGCCAGCATTAGCTGTTGTTATATCCGGTTTGTCTGTGCTACCCTGCCATCGCATCTGCCAGTTATGAAAGATCCGAGACCTGGAGAAGGATGGGGTGGAGTGATTCGAACCGATCGAGATACACAGCTGCAGCGAAACATTTGGTGTTTCTGTGTATCGAGTAGTCGTTTGAGTTTGCGTTTCTGGAGTGCTTTGAGTGTTTCGATTCCCTATGGATTTCCACGTAAGATAGAAGGTTCGGAAACGTCGAAATTGCTTCCATGATCCAAGGATCCATACGGAGGTCTTACTAGTGTTGGTGGCATGTTTGGACGTTCTGGACAGTTTCAGCTCCGTAGAAGTCATGCACAATTCATTCATGCGTGATCGCTGCCAGAAGCGTATCGAATGCCGTTGCCTGCTGATGTGGATGAGTTCAAAATACCGGATTTCTCAGCACTTGGGACGTGGATATAGAGCTGTTCCAGCTGACGAATGCCCACAACCAGAAACTTTGTCGTACATTTGTATCGCACTCATCGTTTTCCAAGGTACTCCTGAAACTAGTGCACAATCGAAGTGCTGACGACGCTTTAAAAATCCTGAAGGAGAAGCAAACGTGAGTGACCCAGGACATGATGGACCTCGGAAGTGTTGGTCAAAGTTGGTCAAAGGATCAGTTTGTTTTTCTCCAGTAGTTTAGCACCAGAGTCCACAGATAGTTTGGTCATATCCTCATTCAGACTCTGATGATTTTACAGAACGAACTTCACACTGTCTAAGTGGTCAAAGGAAGTCTGTGTGCGCATTTCAGGAGTGTAGTTGTTCTTGTGCTGAAGGTGGAAACTGAAAACAAAGCTGGGCATCTACTCCCCCACGCCGCAGTGAGCCAGTGTGAAGAGATGCTCGGTGCAGTGGGGACGGGTTTGCATTTCGCAGGTACCAACCTCTGCAGTACATCGAGGACAAGCCATTCTGGCAGAGCAGCAAGTATGTGAAGAGGCGTCAGCATGTGGCAAAACTATTCAAAACTTGGAAATGCTATGACATGTTGTGACGAGATGTGACAAGCATGGTAAGCACAGAGTGAGAAATTCTGAGCTTCACCACACCATTATCCCATCATGAGGAAGATGAAGAAGTTCTATGAGCAGCAATACAAGAAGCGGCTGGAGCAGGAGCGGTTCCCCTCTTCACACATGGATATCATTTGGATAACATTTGGATAAAGGATGATAATTTGGAAGGTTTCAACAAGGTTCCAACATATTTTCAAATGGTTTTGGCATTTATCAACTGCTCAAGGGCAAGACTGAGCAATCGCAATGTATTCTGAGGACAATATCAACTTGAGATACTTGCCGAGTGTGAAAGACCGTTTGGAACAAGCAGGCGGGCATTGACTCGGAAAACCGGTACCGCTTTCTTTTCCAAACTTTCCAAACAGCACAATCCAGTGCCAGGTACCCAGCTCTTGGGCGGAATCAATGGCTTCAAGGTGCAAGATGTCACCTCGTGTTTGGTATGCTCAAATAAGCAACATTTTTTTTTAAAATATTTTTTGTTCGTTTTCCAAATCACGAAATTATTTTCGGAGATTCCCTTTTGGTTGTAAGGATGTTCCCTGAGAGCTTGAAGCAGCGAAAGCTCAGCGTTTGTGGATGTGTAGTTGAAGCCGGTTTCCAATGGCCACTGGCTTTTGGAGTTTGACTGATTTTACTCGATTCTTTCAGTGAAGTTTTGCTGTGTCCAAGCTCGGCTTTGTTTGCAGTATCTCTTTCCTTGGAGGTGCTGAAGAACAGTTTCAAGAAGCTCTCATCCATGACCGCAGAGGAGATTCTGGAGGTTGGATCAACAGATGGTCACGAACCACACATGTCTTTCAGCAAATATGGACTAAGGCTTGCAGTGACCAACGTACATTGCGTTTGAGTCAGGATGCTCAGAGAACTGCGACACCCACGCCATTAATAAGGACATCTAAGGACTACATAGTGACAATCATCGTGCTATAATCTTTTTCTGAGCCCCTCTGCATCCCGGCTGAGAAGGCTTGACAAGACTGAAGACCTATAGGACCTATAGACTTCAGACTTCAGGTGCAGCCAGCAAAGATATTCCAATCGATTGGCGGCCTGGCTACCAGACAGTGGCCAGACACCCAGATGTTGAAATGATCAAAGGCAAAGGGACCAGAATAATTCACCTTTTCCACCTTTCATTGCTTTCCTTTGCTTGTGCAACATGGCTGACATGGCTAGTTATTTCAACCTTTTTCAGCGAGGCCATTCGAGACATGCAACTGAAGCACATGAAGCGGGTCGATGTTGTCATTGAGGTGCCTCATGTGTAGAGCAGATTGAATGAGGTCAAGTCAGGTTGAGTTGTGTTAAGTTGTATTGATCATTTATCATGTCTGCAAAGTTGCAAAGGGTCTGGATTTGAAGGGAAAACAAGGCCGTCTGATTCCCTGTGCATCCAGATGTTTGTTCCAACTTTGCCCTCACTCTGGCTAGCGGCTAGCGGCTAGGTGCGAGATGCTCGGATACCATGGACAACCACACACCCAGATGTCCCAGGCGGGGCCCAAGGTTACTTCATTCATCTTCATTCTGTCATTTCGATTCATTTTCCATTTTATTTCCATCCTTTCTGCCCTTCCAAGACGAGATTCCAAAACAAAACTAAATGTCTCCGGCAGAATGGGCACGGCCACGACCACGGGTCATCGTCCTCACCAAAGCTGATCTTGTACCACCTTCTGCCTTGGAGGCCTCTAGGGTACAAGGAAGTATGTAGGAGTCTTTGCGTCATTTTGCGTCATTTTCATTTACACAATTTAAAGAATCAATTAATTCATGGAAGACGCTGAAAGATGTAGGAAACGGTTCGCTACATCAAAGAGAGCGAGCGGGATCGTGGAGTTCCAGTTGTTCCTGTAGATGCGATGCTGGGGACCTTTGGCATTGAGGTGGGAGCTATGCCAGCTATTGCTAATTGCTAGATATTGCTAGCACCATGCTGGCATCACTTTGCGGTTGAACCGCACTTTAATTGGCTATGGGTGCGTGGCGGTGGCGTTTTGGCGCCTATACCGATACCATCTTGAGATCGATAGTTGGTTTTGGCTCTTGATTCTTCACTGATTCTTGATGTTTGAGAAGAAACAAGACACAAGACACAACATGAAACCTGAACTTGAATTGTGGGCTTGTGTGCCTCACGAGCCTGTGTCCGGTCATGTCAACGCTGGCTGTCAGCACACAGGGAAAGTTCAGTGCACGCCAGGAGCTTCGCGAGGAGTTATTGAAAGCTGGTGCCTACGTAAATCGAAGGTTGGAAGATGTTCGAGATGTTGGACGACCACTGAATATTTCAAATATGTTAATTTTGTTATATTTTGTTTATTTATACATATTTTACTATATGTTCTCCTTTTTTCATTTTTTTCCACATATATATATATAATATTATAATATATATATATATATACACGTATTATTCTTAAAAATTCTTGATCGATCGGCAGTGCTTTAATTTGATTTTGAAACTGATTGCATCCATTTGCACAATGACACCGGGTTGATGTGAGGCGAAAACGCCAGGGAATCAATCCGCGTGCCATTCGCACTATGATGTAGCTCGGCAAATCATTTTTGCGACTTTGGTGTATTTGGACAGTGGCTCAGCTCCAGCTGAAATTTAGAAGGCCGTTGGTCTGACACTGTTTGGAATCACGGATGCAACTCCTGCCAAGGATTGGCTTCCCCAATGTGTTAACCTCAGCATCAACATAGCTGCCATGTTCTGCTGGACTTTATTGACCCATGTTGAGCCACTACAAAAGGGCTCAGTGCTGAGGTTGGGAAATCTTCCATCATCAATCGCCTCACTGGGCGGAAAGTGGCTGCGAAGGCACCGGTCTGGCAATTTGGGCGATGTGAACTCATGATGGTCATGTGACAGGCATGAGATATCGATGCCATGAGTCACCTGACACTTTCTGACACTTTCTGAGACTTTTCTGCACTTTCCGATTGCTGCAACGGCGAAAGCGCAGGATGCTAGACCTGGACTTACCAGACGGTTGACGTGGCACAGAATCGGTGGATTCAGGCAACCTCTCACAGCGTCAAGTCTTCACCTTCCATGCTTCCAATGACTCGCATGACTCGTATGATTCGAATGGCTCGAATGACTCGAATGTTGACGTTTCAGGAACACAGAGCTCGAATTCCTGGATGCACCTGGCTTCATTCCGGTGGGCTTTGGCAGAAGGTTCACCAAGGACCGCATGATTTAGCTGAATCATGCCGAATCTCCCTTTCGGATTTCACCAGAATCCTCAGGAGCAGCAGATGCTTCTATGCATGTGCCGAATCTTTGGTGAAAAGGCCTGTTATTTGGATGACGATCATTCACATGATGATACAGATATCGATTGTACCAGTAGTACCCGCACGAAGCGGGGCGGAAGTTGGATATACTATAAGACCTTTCTCATCTATAGAACTTGCATGCGCCGTGCGCCAGCCAGGCCCGTGCGTGCGTGCTTTGTGCGAAGCTGTTGCGCAGATGTTGTCCAAGAACATGACCTGCGCGCAACCCCGGTGCAAGGCAACGCCAAGCGAAGACTTTCCGCACACTTCACGCTGCACTCTTCGCACTTCACACTCCACACTTGCACTTCGCACTCCACACTTCATCTCATCTCAAAGCATGTGAGCTCTTCTCACCACATCTCAGCTCTTCTCATCTCATCCCATCTCTTCTCACATGTCATCAAAGTAAGTTCAACTGTTTTCACCTCATCCGAGCACTGATCAGCCTTTCTCATCTCCTCTAAGTTGTTCTCAACTCATCTCAGCTGTTCTGTACGCCAGAAAGCGCTTACTGTCAGAGAGATGTCTCTTGCATAAAAAAAAACATTGGGCGCAGAAAGTTTTTGCACACAAACACTTGACACGAATGCATTTAGACAGAAAAGCCTTTCCGACATACTTTGTACTACAAAGCTTGCACAAAGCAATTCCCAGTATTACTTTGTACTACAAAGCTTGCGCAAAGCACTTCCCAGTACTACTTTGTACTACAAAGCTTGCACAAAGCACTTTCCAGTACTTCTTTGTCCTACAAAGCTTGCGCAAAGCACATCCCAGTACTACTTTGTACTACAAAGCTTGCACAAACCACTTCCCAACAATACTTTGTACTACACAATGCTTGCGCAAAGCACTTCCCAGTACTACTTTGTACTATAAAGCTTGCACAAAGCACGTTCCAGTACTACTCTGTACTACAAAGCTTGCACAAAGCACTTCCCAGTACTACTACTTGTCCTACAAAGCTTGCACAAAGCACGTCCCAGTGCTACTTTGTACTACAAAGCTTGCACAAAGTATTTCCCAGTACTACTTTGTACTACAAAGTTTGCACAAAGCACTTCCCAGTACTACTTTGTACTACAAAGCTTGCACAAAGACCTTCGCAGTACCACTCTGTACTACAAAGCTTGCGCAAAGCAATTCCCAGTACTACTTTGTACTACAAAGCTTGCACAAAGCACGTCCCAGTACTACTTTGCACTACAAAGCTTGCACAAAGCAATTCCCAGTATTACTTTGTACTACAAAGCTTGCGCAAAGCACTTCCCAGTACTACTTTGTACTACAAAGCTTGCACAAAGCACTTTCCAGTACTTCTTTGTACTACCAAGCTTGTACAAAGGACTTCCCAGTACTACTTTGTACTACAAAGCTTGCACAAAGCACTTCCCAGTGCTACTTTGTGTTACAATGCTTGCGCAAAGCACGTCCCAGTACTACTTTGTACTACAAAGCTTGCACAAAGCACATCCCAGTATTACTTTGTACTACAAAGTTTGCACGAAGCACGTTCCAGAACTACTTTGTACTGCAAAGCTAGCACAAAGCACGTCCCAGTACTACTTTGTACTACAAAGCCTGCACAAAGTATTTCCCAGTACCTACAAAGCTTGCACAAAGCACTTCCCAGTACTACTTTGTACTACAAAGCTTGCAAAACGTACTTCCCAGTACTACTTTGTACTACAAAGCTTGCACAAAGCACGTCCCAGTACTACTTTTTACTGCAAAGCTTGCACACAGCACTTCCCAGTACTACTTTGTACTAAAAAGCTTGCACAAAGCACTTTCCAGTACTACTTTGTACTACAAAGCTTGCACAAAGGACTTCCCAGTACTACTTTGTACTACAAAGCTTGCACAAAACACTTCCCAGTACTACTTTGTACTACAAAGATTGCACAAAGCACTTTCCAGTACTACTTTGTACTACAAAGCTTGCACAAAGGACTTCCCAGTACCACTTTGTACTACAAAGCTTGCACAAAGCACTTCCCAGTACTACTACTTGTCTTACAAAGCTTGCACAAAGCACGTCCCAGTCCCAGTACTACTTTGTACTACAAAGCTTGCACAAAGCACTTCCCAGTACTACTTTGTACTACACAGCTTGCACAAAGCACTTCCCAGTACTACTTTGTATTACAAAGCTTGCACAAAGCAAGTCCCAGCAATACTTTGTGCTAGAACGCTTGCACAAAGCACTTCCCAGTACTACTTTGTACTACACAGCTTGCACAAAGCACTTCCCATTTCTACTTTGTACTACAAAGCTTGCACAAAGCACTTCCCAGTACTACTTTGTACTACAAAGCTTGCACAAACTACTTCCCAGCACTACTTACTGTCTACTACAAAAGCTTGCAAAAAGTACTTCTCAGTACCACTTTGTACTACAAAGCTTGCACAAAGGACGTTCCAGTACTACTTTGTACTACAAAGCTTGCGCAATGTACTTCCCAGTACTACTTTGTACTGGAAAGCTTGCACAAAGCACTTCCCAGTACTACTTTGTACTATAAAGCTTGCACAAAGCACGTTCCAGTACTACTTTGTACTACGAAGCTTGCACAAAGTACTTCCCAGACTTTCAGTACTTCTTTGTACTACAAAGCTTGCACAAAGGACTTCCCAGTACTACTTTGTACTACACAGCTTGCGCAAACTAGTACTACAAAGCTTGCACAAACCACTTCCCAGCAATACTTTGTACGACACAAAGCTTGCACCCAGTACTACTTTGTACTACAAAGCTTGCAAAATGTACTTCCCAGTACTAGTTACTTTGTACTGCGAAGCTTGCGCAAAGCACTTCCCAGTACTACTTTGTACTGCAAAGCTTGCACAAAGTACGTCCCAGTACTACTTTGTGATACAAAGCTTGCACAAAGAAAGCTTTTACACACAGCAAGTTCTTTCGCAGAGAAGCTTTTACACACAGCAAGCTTTTTAAACAGAGAAGCTTTTACACACAGAGAAGCTTTTACACACAACAAGCTTTTACACAGAGAAGCTTTTACACACAGCAAGCTTTCACACACAGCAAGCGTTTATACACAGAACACTTACACACAGTGCTTTTACACATGGCAAGCGTTTACACACCCAGCAAACTTTTTAAACAGAGAAGCTTCTACACACAGAGAAGCTTTTACACACAACACGCTTTTACACAGAGAAGCTTTTTACACACAGCAAGCTTTCACACACAGCAAGCGTTTACACACAGAATGCTTACACACAGTGCATTTACACATGGCAAGCGTTTACGCACACACAGAAACTTTTACACAGAGACGCTTTTACACACAGAGAAGCTTTTACACACAGCAAGCTTTTACGAACAAAATCTTTTGCACACAGCAAGCTTTGACAGAAAAACACAATTATATAGAGATGCTTTCTTGTACATAACCACAACAGGAATTGCAGCGCCAAAACCGGATCTCGACGCCAAAGCGAAAAAAAACGATTTTGAAACACTTTTAAAAAGGACTTCCAAAAGGAAAACTACTAGCGCCAAAATTAAGAAAATCTGCTTAACAAATCACTTTCGCAGCCTTGATGCAGCCACTCCACCCTTAGTCTCCAAAAAAAGTAAATTTACTAATTTTCAAAATTTACGTGCATCGAAGAATTTAGGTTAAACAAGTTTGAAAAATCCTAAATCAATTTAGTTTATACCTATGTTTTCTTCATTTTTTTGAAGCTGTTTTTTTTTGTATGTTTTTTGTTGAAAACATACAAAACTGGTTAACAAATGTTTTGGAAAATACAATTTTTAAGATGGAATCAGTGCATTTAGGTCTATGATTTGTTTTTTTGGTTCAAGTTTGAGGTGTAAATAAAATGCTCATGGAAGAAAGCTCACCATGCCCAAGGAACTTGTACCTATTGAAGATGTTTTTAAGCAAAAGGACTTCAAGACAATGCTCAAGTATAAGGGCTTAAGTAAGAAGACTCAAGTAAGTGGTTTCAAGTGAAATCATTGGTGCATTTTTGGCCATCACCATCTAGTGTATTGAGGACCTGGCTGATGACTTGTGGACCATGCAATATTGTAATGGTGTTTTTGCTTGTTGTACCGAGTCAGGTCTGGTACAATAAGCAAAAACACAATGTCAGTGATGCCCCCCGAAAAGTATATGGAGCTGGGGTTCTTGTATAAGAATAGTATCGGGCCCGGTGCGGTGCAATCAGCAAAAAAACAATTGGGTGATTTTCTGCACAAAAACACAGATGGACATTATGTTTTTGCTTGTTGTGCCGGGTCAGGTTTGGCACAATGAGCAAAACATGTCTTACTTGAGGGCATTGGAGATATTGCACTGTTTCTGTTTTCTACATATGGACTTGAGAAAATGGAAGACCTCTGCAGATTACTTTTTATTACTTGAGGATTTGCCAGACCAATTGTCTTACTTGTGCTACCTGTAATCTATTGAACATGGAAGGTACTTCACTGATTTCCTTGACGTGAATTAAGCTAAAAAAATATACTAGGTTTTGATGTTTCTGTGATATGGGTGAGTATATATTCAAATGAAAGTACACTGATTTTGGTGTGTTTTGGTTGGTTTTGATGTTGGTCTGTGTTTTTTGTTGATTTTGGTCAAAATCCTCATGCACTTTTTATGCACTCTTTATGCACTCTTTATGCGCTTTTTATGCGCTTCATAAAAAGCGCATGAAACGTGCATAAAAAGTGCATAAAAAGTGGATAAGACATGCATAAATATGCATAAAAAGTGGATAAGAAATGCATAAAATGAATAAACCGTGCACAAAAATTGCACAAGCAGTGCAAACAAAAAGTGTACAAAAATTGCATAACAAGTGCAAAAAAGTGCATAAGAATTGCATAAGGAAATCCGTGAAGATTTGATTTGCAAAAAAATGCAGAAAATAACAGCAGTAA